AATCGAACCCAGGTGGGTCGGGTTCGCGGCGCAATGCGCCAAGCACCGCTACAATAATCACACTCACTATAGTATTGAATTACAGAGACACGCATAGTCAAGCGTGTATACGTATACACCTATGTAGCATATTGTATATGTACCATATAGCATGCACTGTACTCGTGTACTGTGTTATGTTCGTCGAGAAAGGCATTTTGTGTAGGTAATTGTGTATGCGTACACAATTGTGCATGGTATGTGTGTAACCACTTAATCTGCGTATATGTATAGGTGTTATGTGCCGCTATACTATACTACGAGACCATACGTATCCTTAGTACGTACATCCACTGTGAACATTCCATGTACACAAGGATATTTAACTTAATGTTCACGTATTCTTGCGTGTATGCACATTAGCAATTACTTGCATTGTGTATCGTATATGCAGTGCTGTACCTTATTATTGCAGAGCACCACGTGACTCCGTAGCCGACAAGCGTGCATGGTACTCACCACGTGACTCCGGATAATTTATAAAAACCTTTTTGTATTACCGGTAACCGCATAAAAAAACCGGTTACCCCCTCCCCCTCTCCCCTTGTTATATATCGGTTTGCTGCACACAGACATTTGTAGAAATAAACAAAGCGTGTTTACCTTTATCACTGATAAACGACGGCAAGCTGCCAGTGGTGGGTTGATCATGAGGACACCGGACGTTCAATCCAGAGGGCGGTTCGATCTCCCGAGGCGGCAGTTGAAACATCGGGGCAAACATCTTAAATCCTCACGCGCCACCACCACCACCGCCTTTGTGCACCTAGCAGCAGCAGCAGCTGCGTATAAATTACTAACTTCCACAGTTACTCGATCGGCAGGTCGAGAAATTGTGGTGGGGTAAAGTGTGGGTACGCCCACTTATACCGAGGCGTGTGCTCAGTATGGAAGAGGAGACAAAATACCCTCTGAGGAATCATCCGTTTAGTTGGAGGCCTTTCCACCGGCGGTGGCGTGAGCGAGCAATTGCAGGGGCCTGCGCCTTATAACTGAGGAACGAGGCCACGTTTACCACCACCACTACCACGCGGTAACTCGAGCCGCCGTGCGGTTTGTACGTTCACGGGTGCCAACCCAATGCCTTCGTTTCCTAAGATTACCGCTTCGCGACTTCCTCAAAACGTTTAGCGATGTTTGTGGTGATCGTTTTAACAACATCGGATATATCTAGACGCCGATCGACTGCTCACTTATAACGATTGTTGTATTTCTGTGCCCTGCAAACATCGACGTGACGTCTGGATTCCCAGCTCACGGTTCAATTGACTGCGGTGACTTATCAAGGCCAGAAGCCACTGCGACGCGATTAAGGTTCTCTCGCACACCTCCGACGGCCGTGGAGGTTTGTTTGACCATACTTCACCACGCTGGTTAGTGCGCGTTTGGTGAAGATGAACGAAACGTGGCGCTCGCTGGCCATAATATCAGCCGTGGCCGGGAATCGAATACAGGGCGCCTGGTTTAGAGCGCAGTGTGCTGCTGCTAATCACGACGCCAAATGCTCCAGCCAATGTCCCGTGGGCTATGCCCGGGAGGGGTCGGCAGCCTGCTGCTCCGTAGCCGCACGCGGCCCTTTAAGGACCGCTTCGTGACGCTGCCAACGAAGGGCTGTCTCGCGTTCAACGTGCGCATTGCGGCTCTTGAAATATTGAGTGTTTTACCCCTATGCTGTACAAGAAATGTCAATTCTTGTTTTTTTGGTTGCTGACCCCTATGCTGTACGCTACAGCATAAGCCAAAAATACAAAGACCCCCTCCCCCCCCCCCCGTATAGTCTAAGGAGACTATTGGGGTAAGTGTTGTGAGCGAGCACCTATGGTACTCGATTAAGGCCGAGTCGACCTAGGAGAAGACCCACGATGGGTTCTTCTGTTGTTGACCGTGGCTGGAAATCTAAACTCCGGTCGCCCGGTTTGTCGCGCAATGCGCCGATCACGACACCACCGGGTCCCCACATCGCATCGGCACCAATAACAACAACAACAATATCATCATCAGGCGACATTCGCCACCACGTCTATGGCGACATCGCCGCAGCGCTTGTGCCAGACTTGTTGCAATTTGAGGCCGTCTCATGAGGCGTCGAAGGCTCGCTGGTAGGAGGTCACGGGACAGACCCCCAGGTGTCGTGGGTGGATTGACTGCGATGATCATAATAATTTACATGCATTGACTTAAAGCTTTCGTGACTGTAGGAATTCATATTCTTTGGGTCTTTCGGTAAAGTCACGTACATAGGTTTTGTTATTTTCTTTCTACGTGACTTTACCGAAAGACCCAAATAATATTTGCATACCTACCAACTCATACGGTTTACCCGTATTCTTGTACAGGGAAATTAAGTAAAAACGTGATTTTGTTTTATTTTTGTGTCTCCCTTCTGATGGGACTTTGTAGGATGAACGTTGAGATTTTTAAGGGCACGGGTTGACCAACAAGGTCTGAATGGGTCTGTAATAAGATAGGCACTGATAAGGGGTTGACAGGTATGCATTTGTAAAGCGCATTTCATTCATAGATCCCAATGCGTCATGTATGGAAAGCAGGAAGTAATCAGAGCCAGGGTAAACGGCCATAATTAGGAGTTAGAGGCCAGTTTAATTGGTGAGATTTAAATACCGACTTAAATATATCTAACGATGACCGGCAGATGCTCCACCTGTGCTCCCCACTGTGCCAACTCGCTGCGTTTTAGCTGCCTCGCGCTCGTTGTTGTGAACGTCGTTCCTATGCCCTCCCGATGATGTTAGAGGACGATCGCCTGACCTTTATCTCGCCAGGCGCGTAGGTTGTATATGTGTTTCATATGTACGGTACATATATACACCAAAGACAAAGATCCCCCGTATAGCCTTTTACAGACTGTTGGGGCAAATGCTGTGAGCGAGCACCTATGAAGGCCGGCACAGCATACGAGAGGGTTAGTGCCCAGCGCCATGCCTGTGCGCCTTTGTCTCCCCCAGAGGCGATGTTTACACACCTCGCCAGGTAATCATTTGAGGCTGAGCCGACCTAGGGGAGGCCCAGAAGCGGTTCAGATAATCGTCACTGGTGTTGGCCGTGAGCGGGAATCGACTACGGGTAGCCGGGTTCGTTGTAGCGCAGCGCGCTAACCGCTGCGCCGCCGCTCCCCACAATTATTCAACAAATACAAAGATACCCCGTATAGCCTTAACAGACTGTTGAGTCAAGTTCTGTTAGCGAGCACCTATGAAGGCCGACACGGCACACGAGGGGGTGGGTGGCCAGGAACCTTGCCCGGCCGCCTTTGTCTCCCTCGTGGCAACGTTTTAACACATCGCACCAGGCATTCGATTGAGGCTGAGCCGATCTAGGGGAGGAGGCCCAGGACAGGTTCAGATACTCGTCACGCTGGTGTTGGCCGTGAGCGGGGATCAAACTCGGGTCTCCGGGTTCGTAGTGGCGCAGCGCGCTAACCGCTGCGCCGTCGCTCCCCACACTATGTACATACACCGTACACATCGCGACAGACACTCTACCTTGGGCTCGCTCCGCGTCTCCGTTCACGAGTGAGAGGCTTAATTCAGTGAGACAGCCTCCCGCACCCCCCCCCCCCTCCAAGTCCGCCCGCCTCCCACGACACGGCCGCAAATGCCTCCCAATCAATAACTGTCAGAGAAATGAAAGGCAGCGGTTGAATATTCAATAGCGTCCCCGAGTTAAAACAAAAAAAAACATTAAAGAAAAAACACACACACATGCACGCACACGCGCGCGCACTCTCCTATTTTGCAACCACGCAGTCGCTCAACACACCCCCCCCCCCCCCTTTCTAACCATCCCCACCCCCCCGGCAGATAGGATAATGAGCTGTAGTTTGTGTATAAAATCCTTACGCGTTATTTGCGCTATGAGGAAGAGTAATGTCTTCATCATTTAGTGAAATGCAACACACGTACGTATGAGCGGAGAAGCGAGCGGTGGCGCAGCGGTTAGCGCACTGCGCTTTGTGAGTTTCATTGGCGGCCGCAACTCCCTTGTGCTAAACCGTTTGCTGTGGCTTTCAAGTGCAGGTTATATTAATAGTTAATGTATACACGATTTGCACGTGTGATTCATTGCATCGTAATCGATTGATAGGTTAGTGCATTGGTTGTCTTTTTACCTACGTGACTTTACCGAGAAAAACCTAAGAATATGAATCATTGCAGTCACGAAAGCTTCAAATCTAGAATTGGTTGTCTACTTGGTTTTTAAGTAATTGATTAATTTAATGATTGGTTTGTTTTATTAATTGGCCAAATGTATGTACCATGTTAAACTTCTTTTCCATCCTACATAGCCAGCCGCGCTAAAAACTAAACGCAAAAAGCACAAACATTTGCTATATCGTGATTTCAAAGTGCATAGCTTCCAGTGTCTTCCTAATATCGGAAGGAAAAGCGTTCCAGACGGCCGCAGGAGCACATCTGAAAACGCGCATGAGTGATGATTTAGTCATCGTAATTGATTGACTGTGCTGTTATTGTCATTGCATTGGATAATTGGTGTGATTATTGAATCATGTTGATTGATTAAATCCTTGATCGATTGATGGATGAATTCAAAGATATATCTGGTATTAACATGGATTTTTTTATTGAAAAGTTGCTTTATTGACGAGTTTGTTTATTGATTATTTATCTTGATTTATTTATTGATTATTTAATCGGATTAAGGTTGAGTTGGAGTTGATTGATTTTTTTTATTTTAGTTGTGAAGTTTGGTTAAGGACCTGTTTTAATATTGATGGACTGATTACTTTTTCGGTTGATTTGTAAATAATCGATGCATTGCTTGGTTCAATCATTTGCTGATATGTTGGTATATTTATTTGGTATTATGGTTAATCGATTGAGGTATTTGTTGATATTCATTATAAACCAACGAGCGAGATGATTGTTGGTGTGTTCATTGTATTTCTCTCTCTCTCCTCATTGATGTATTGCCTGCCACAGATATCCCGCACCAAGAATTGGAGTTGAACTCTGTCATTAACGCTCAAGGTTGCTTCCTCAGGGAGATCATGTGCCTCGCCTTCTCCCCTGTCCTGGTGACCCTCACGCTCCAAGCACCACAGGAGATCTAGCGGACGAGAGCGTTAGGCTACTGTAGATTTGGTGAGTGGGAGAGTTAGCAAATGGGAGAGTTAGCAGATGGGAGAGTTTGGGAACGGGACAGTGAGTGAGTGAGTTAGGGTATGGGAGAGTTTGTCGCGATCTGTCTGTGTTTGTCTATCGGTCTCTCCATCTATCTGATGCAGAATTCCTCACTCCATTAAAAGTGCTCTGCAATAGACTCGTTGCTTTTTGTCGACTGCACATTATCGACGACGAGTTAAATCTCTTGAAATGCGCCATTGTTGATGAATGTGAATTAATTAACTTATACGAAATATTATATTTACGCACAGTTAGTGTCTAATGGCCTATGAGCAAATCGCCTACAACGCTTCCGATCTCGTAAGATCTCGGCAGCTAAGCAGATTTAAGCCTGGACAGCGCTTGGATTGGCGACCGTATATGCGTAACAGGTTGTTATAGGCTGTGGGGGGATGGGGGAGAGACGACATGGGGGCAGCAGAAGGCAGTTGCAGCAATATCCATTGCTGTACTGTGCGTCGATGCTCCCCACCTTCATCCTGCCGAATGACCAGCGTGGTGAAGTATAGTCAATTGACCTTCACTACCGGTACGGCATGGGGAAGCCCTCATCATCCAGCAGTAGATGGATATATGCAGAGTAGGCTTGGTGATTATATAAATGTATAACAAGTTAAGCATGCTATAATATTCCTCTTTACGAGCGTTGAGTTGTTCCTGTGGATGGCTGTTAAGAACTACGGACGCTGTTACTTGCACAGGGTATGTATGTGTACAGGTGCGTGTGTACATCGTCTATAAGTGTAAAGAACACGTGCTGGTGTGCACGTGAGCAACTACTGAATAATTATAAATGTTTTATGTTAAAATAAATGTAGCCGCGTGGTGAATTAAATTACGTGTTCGCGTGTGTTTGTGTGTATGGATGTATGCGTTGTGTGTGTGTGTGGTTAGGTGGCCACCCACCCCCTCGTGTGCCGTGCCGGCCTTCATAGGTGCTCGCTATCAGCACTTGCTCCTGCAGTGTGTTGATGCTGGGAGGGTTCTTGTGAGTCTCTGTGAATGCGTGTGTGTGTGTTGGGTTACGTCTCCCGTTAAAGACACGCTGTAGGAACAGTTCGCGTTTACATTTTGCTCGTGAATGTGAATTAAACAAGAATACCAACACAAATCCCGTCTGATCACCGTCTGTGCTGCGGTTACTTACCCCATCATCCCTCCGAGGTCGATACAACGAGTAACAATTTGTTTTAAGTCAACAGCGAGCGTGCTGTGGGGGTGGGATTGCTGCCCGCCAGACGTATCCATTGCTGGATGAAGGCCTCTCGAAATGGAACTATCCACTTCGCATCTGAACAAGAACTGATTGAATCACTCCGTCTAGCCATGACTCGCCGTCTCGCCACCAACATATCCAGTCCCACTTTTATTAACCGCCCAATACTGTGTATCACACCTGCGTATGTTTTCTATTCCATGTGTTCCTCTTTAGTAAATAAAGGATAATTATACCACAAGTGTTTATGTCTACACATTGCAGCATAAAGACGATGCATAATCCTTAATTTACTATTTTTCTATATTTAATTTCTGGTTTCAGAGTGCAACTGCGCTAACCACTGCGCCACCGCTCGTCGCCCCATAGGCTTGACAAAACTGTATACAATATTCCAAAACTTGTTATAAAATAAAGGCAAAGACCTTGTTTAGGATGCTTTCTTTTGTATCCCGGTTGCTGAGCACAGACCAAGCGGCCAGCAACACACATCGAATTATGAAAGACGTGACAGATAAGAGGCAGGATAAGAGTGTTCCTTGAATGGCGAGAGTAAGTAAGACGTTGCTTGGGAGAGATTCTAAAAGTTTGAGCGGTGCGTGGCAAGAAGTTGAGAGGAAGCGGGGGCGACCTGGAGCGTGGGGTGTTTACAAAACAACGGCCACACCACCCGCCGTCATTCGCCCCACACCGCCTTATGTCAGAAACATAAAGTTCTAAATATAGGCGGGCGGGCGGGTGGACTACACGGGCAAACATTTGCCCAAGGCTCGTTAGGATTTTACGCTGTCCTTTATGTGGTCCCGTGGCGACCGAGCCACGCGAAACGCGTCCACGTGTCGTCACGTCTCCGAAGCCGAGTGGGCGTTCAAGCCCGGTTCTACTTGCAGGCGCGTGATGGCACCAAGATGGTTCAGGAGCTCAACGCCGTTGTCGAGGTCCTGTTGAAGCGGTGTGGGTGAGGCCTTCATCCAGCAGCGGCGTGGCAAAGTGGTTATTTTTATTTATATCGTGGATAAAAGTATGTTGGCTTGGTCAGGACGTGTTGCTAAAAGAGATGACGATGTGATGATGATGATTGGCGGTCTAAACTAGCAGCAGATTATCATCCAAAGTGAGGGATTACTGCCCAGTCTACGTCCACCAAGGAGATCGAGCGCCATGGTGGCGAGATGTTAACTACCTCGCCTGCTATCCAGAGGACGTGAGTTCGATTCCGACCCTTGACGCCTGTGTGTGCATGTTCTTTCTCTCCCCGTGGTCGTGTGTATTGTTTCTCCGGGTCCTCCGGGTTTTCCCCTCTACATTTACAGGCGTGCGTTTAGAGTATTTGGCAGCTATAAAGTTCCACGTGATGATAATCCGCTCCTGTTGAGCTATCATTCGTGGCCAGATCGCTTCGTGAAAACGATCCATATAGCTCAGTGGGCCTTCTCCCGGCAAAACAAAATGAGTTTAGTTTAAGTGCAATGACATCCAGCTCAAGTGCTGGTAGATTATCCAATGTGGTGATTGTGAAGGCTGCAATTTTAGTAATCGGTCAGTAGGGGTCTCCATGGAGCAGGCGGGCACCTGCCCTAACACCGATCTGGAAAGGGCAGGCAAACACGTGCGTGTGCTGAACTTCTTTTGCGCCGTACGTAGCCACCCACGCTCATCGGAGGCGCGGGGAAGGACAACAAGCTAAACACACAAAGCAGCTGTGAAGAAATGAGCTCTCATTGTCGATGACTTCAAATTGCTCCGCTCGAGTGGCTTCCGAGGATCAGAGGAGCGTTCTAGGGGGGCGTCCATAAATGACGCACGCGATTTTGGACGATTTTTGACCCCCCCCCCCCCCTCGTCACACGGCGTCACAAAAAATAAGACTCCCTTCAAATATGACGCCACAAAGCTCTGCCCCCCCTCCCCCCCAAAAAAATCATACTTCAAATCGCTTTACACTATTGTCATTTAAGTGCGTATTTAATGTGGCACTGCACTTTGATCTTGTAGGAGACACATTTATTAAAATGTCTATTTAATTAAGAAGAAAGTGTTGTCTATGTTTATTTAAAGTTGCGCATTTTGATGTGACGTCACATTTCTCTACCCCCCCCCCCCTTCGTCACACATCGTCACAAATGTCTGAACCCCCCCCCCCCGCCCTAGGTGCGTGACGTCATTTATGGACGGCCCCTAGACGGCTGCAGAAGTGCGCGCGATGCAGCGTGGCGATCACTCGAGGAGGCGGCCTTCATCCAGCAGTGGATTGGTCATGACTGAAGACGATGGATCATTAACTGCAGCCCGATACGACAAATGGCGCTATTAAAATGCCACTCGGAATCGTGGACGCGCCTGAGGTCGCAGTTACGATGCTCGTGAACACAAACTTGGAATGTCAATCCACTGCTGGATGAATGCCACCCGATCCGTCGCAAAAATCTTCCGATCTATCGATGTTATCAATTCGCCGAGGATCGCTCCGTCTCCACGGGGGGGAATTCCTTCACTCGGACGCGTTCCGTTCCTCGGCTCCGTCATCTCACGATCATCTCACGATCATCTCACGATCATCTCACGATCATCTCACGGATTCACTATTCTCATCGGACACCATCTCGCCTTGGGGCGACGCGTCATGCCCAAGCCTCGCTCCCTTTTCTCAACCGCGTTGAACGATCTGGTGTCACGTGCCGTGTGTTCCCCAGGCCACGTGTTACTCTATCTATCGTCTCTCAGTGTAATTGAATGCATTCACTTCTCCACGCTTCTCGGACCTTGAGCACCCTCCCCTGTGCGTGTGCTCATCGAAGCAAGAATAAACAACAGACAGAGAGATTCCCCGTGGCCTGCACAGACTTTTGGGGGATGATGTTCGCGCGGAGCAGCACCGATGAAGGCCGGCACGGCACACGAGGAGATGGGTGGCCAGCACCACGCCCGGCCGCCTTTGTGTCCCAAAGTGGCGATGTTTTTACTGCGCACCAGGTACTCGCTTGAGGCTGAGTCGACCTAGAGGAGGAGGCTCGGGACCGGTTCGGTTAATCGTCACTGGTGTCGGGAGCCGTGAGCGGGTCTCGAACTCGAGCGGACGGGTTCGTAGCGCAGTGCGCTACCCGCTGCGCTACCGCTCCCCACACAACCAAAGACAAAGATGCCCCGTACAGTATAGTAACAGACTGTTGGGGCAAGTGCAAGCGATGTTAGCGAGTAGCACCTATAAAAGGCCGGCAGAACACACCACACACACACAGAGACGACCCCATACACACACACAGACGACGTCCACACACACACACAGACTCCCACACACACACACAGAGGCGACTCACACACACAGACGACTCCCACACATACACACAGACTCCCACACACACAGACTCCCACACAGACTCCCACACACACAGAGACGACTCACACATACACACACACACAGACTCCCACACACACACAGAGACGACACACACACACAGACTCCCACACACACACAGAGACGACACACACACAGACTCCCACACACACACACACACCCACGCTCACTCCCTGTGTGTGTCGTGGTTCATGCGGCGCCACAGTCTGTCGACACACGTGGAGTGTCAGGCAGAACAAGTAAGTTAATGGATGACCACGCACAGAGTCGGAGCCGACAAATCGCTAATGAGGCGAACATCATTAATTATTTTCTCACCGCTCCCGCCTCCTGCCCCCCCCTCCTCCTACGGCCAC